TTGCAAAATTGCCAAGACTGAACTGGAATTGTGATCCTTTTGCCTCAGGCTCCAGAGTAACGGGGGAATACCGGATCATGCCACTGGGTTTAGCTCATCATAGCTTCTTATGATAACAAAAAGTGGAAAAGAAATAGTTTATTTATGGTACATATCTAAGATGTGTGAGAACTGGGTTCAATTCTCAGCACTGCATATATATAAATAAAATAAAGGTCCATTGACAACTAAATAAGTTTTTTTAAAAATTGTTTTCTAAGAATGTTTAATGACAAAATACTCAAGATGTTGTCTGATAGTAGGATTAGCATTTTGTATTTGCTATAATTTTAATTTTCATAATATTATAGTCCGTAGACATGGGGATGTAGCTGATGGAAGAAGTTTGTGGGGAAGGGAATAAAGGCTAGTATCAAGCAGCTTCAGAGGACAGCACAGTCACTTGCCAAGAGGGGACAGGGAGGCCCAAGTTGGGGACCTGATGCATCTGGGATGTGAGTGAGCCATAGAGGTGTGTCCAGGAAGCATAACATTGCATCCTCAATCTGGAGCCTCTGGGATTGAATGTCACTGCCCATCACCTATAGGGCAAAGGGACTAGGTAGGGTAGAGACTGGTCTGAGGATGCTGGATGTGCAGATATGCAGGTACAGGCAGAGATAAGGAAAAATCAACATCTCTGAAGTAACTAGACTTCACTCTGTGCTTAGCTCTAAGGGTCTTCAGAGCTATGTCCTCAGGTACCCCAAGATGACTGGTGACAGACAGCTGTGGGGAGCAGAGCATCCAGACCATCCATATCGATCCTGCCCAGTCTCTGTAGCAGCATTCAGTCAGGAATTGCCTTTACAAAGGGTGGCTTACTTTTTTTGTTTATCAGTACAGGGAATTGAACCTAGGGCCTCACATAGCAAGTGTTCTACACTGAGTTACATCCTCAGCTCTAGGGGCAGCTCAGCATCTCACCATTTATTTGTTTATTATTAAATACACATTTCAATTAAAAATGTGGTGTGTGTGTGTGTGTGTGTGTGTGTGTGTGTGTGTGTGTTTTGCTGGGAATGTAGCCCAGAGTCTGATGTACTCCATCACTGAGCCAAACCCTCAGTCCTACTTATTTTTCTTAGAAGTAATTCTTTCTTATATTGTGAGTGAAAGGACACTTGCAGAGTCCACGCAAAGTCCAAAGACCACACCACACACCAGAATCCTACACAAGAGATTTATTGTCGTTAACAGGAGGCACACCAACAAGGCTGTCCCTCTGAGGAGAGCAACAGCCTGTCGGCACTCACAGAGCAGCTTTATAGCTCACAAGAGGAATCTCATAAGCTGCTGAGGAGTTAAGCTGGGGTGGGGTTGATAGCAGGCATGTGTTCTTATGGGAAGTTAAGCAGCTTTACTTCAGAATTGAAACTTTGGAACCTCTAGATAAAATGGCTCCTGACCTAAAATGGTGAATCTGATGCCAACAGTGAGCAAGTATGGCACAGTGAAAGAATTAAAATAACCTCAAATGCATACTAATATTTATTTATGTATATATACACGTATATTCCATTTATTTAAATAGAATAAACAACTGTATATTTTTTATTAGCAATTGTTCAATTTTTCTGCAGAATGGCTTAATAGAAACCCACATAACTGGGCTGGGGATATAGCTCAGTTGGTAGAGTGCTTGCCTTGCATGCAGAAGGCCCTGGGTTCTCTACCCTACCTAGTCCCTTTGCCCTATAGGTGATGGGCAGTGTCATTCAATCCCAGAGGCTCCAGATTGAGGATGTAATGTTACTGCTTCCTGGACACACCTTAGTATTAACAACAACAACAACAACAACAAAAAAGAAACCCATATAACTAATAAAAGTTTCTTTGAATTCATAGAGTAATTATCTGTAAAAACCCATGGTTTTACTATTACATAATGTTAATTTTTTTAAACATTTATTTTTTTAGTTGTAGGTAGACACGATACCTTTATTTTATTTTTATGTGGTGCTGAGGATCTAACCCAGTGCCTCACGCATGCTAGGCGAGTCCTTTTCCTCTAAGCCACAACTCCAACCCCCAAATGTTAATTTTTTAATTGAGAAATAAAGGCTTCTAGACTGGGGATGTAGCTCAGTATTCGAGTGTGTTTTAGTCAGTTTGTTTCATTGCAGTGACCAAAAAATCTGACAAGAACAATTTATAGGGCTAGGATTCTGTGCTCAAAGGTAGAGCTATTGCTTGCCTCGCACATGTAAGGCACTGAGTTTGATCCTCAGCACCATATAAAAAAAATAAAAAGAACAGCTC